CTCTCTCTCTCTCTCTCTCTCTCTCTCTCTCTCTCTCTCTCTCCCCCCCCCATTGGGCTGGCTGCCTGGCAGAGGAGGAAGGGAGTGGAAGGGGGGCACTCACCTGTTCTCTGTGGAACAAAAAAACTGCACCCACGGGTTGGTGCTGCTGCTGTCTGGAGCTGGCGGCAGGTACATGGCCTCCGAGAAGCAGGTCAGCAGCAGTTTCAGCAGCTCCACGCTTGGGAAAGGGCGTTATGGGGGGGTCCAGTACCCGAAGGTCCCACTTCTCTAGGCCCCACCCTGGCTCCAGTCCACGGAAAGAAATGACCCACTGCAGCCCTGAGGCTGAGGTGGGTCCTGAGTGCACAGAGCGCCCCAGGCCGGCTCCCTCAGTGCAGGTTGGGGGTGGGGGACGGGCAGGCCATGTGAAGCTCACCGGTTCATGTCGTGGACATAGCTGGGCTGAGGGGAGTGAGCGAAGCCCACGCCGGCCTCCCAGATGTATTCACAGCTGTCCAGGGAGTGGACGTCCTCTGCCGAGTCCTGGGACAGGGTCAGGGAGAGATCAGCCTGGGGGTGGCCCGCCAGGACCCTGCCAACCCTAGAGACAGAGACCCTCATATTCTCCTCGGCTGGGCCCGCCATGCCAGGTGCTCGTCCCCGGGGAAGAACTGAATGTTCTCAGGCTCTTGAAAGCTTTTTCTTCAGTCTACCTCTTTTAGTTTGAGACGGAGATAAAAGAGGGGCGAAGGAGAGCGGGGAGAGGATGGAACTGGGTGCCTGGTGATGCGGGGGTGGGGGCACAGAAAACATTCCAGGTCAGATGGGGGGCCACAGGAAGTGACAGGGCCAGGTCTCCTGCGCCCCTGCCCCACACCCACAACCACTACCCAGGCCGAGACAATGGGCTTCTGTGCCCAGTCACCCGGATACAGGAGACAGGGCTGGGCAACAGCTGGCTCTTCTCCAGCTGCGCCAGCCACCGCCCCCTCCCGCGACCACACGTGCCAGGCAGCCACTCTGAGCCCCAGAGCCCCCTGCCCCGGGACCAGAGCCCTCCCGGCCGGCGTGGGGGTCTCACCACAGTGCTCCTCCGGTGGCTGTGGACTGTGAAGTCTGGGCAGAAGAGCAGGTCGGCGATGGCCAGGAGCAGGGACTCGGCCAGGGGCCGGGCATTCTCATCGTCGTCCTCTACCTGCTCGGGACGGGATCCCAGGGGCTGCCTCAGTGGCGGCCCAGGAGAGGTGGCCAGGGCTTGGGAAGCGGGAGGCAGATGGGCCTAGCTAGGCACTTGGGGGCAAAGGAATGCAGGGAGACGAAGAAGGGAAAGAAAGAGGACTCCTGGTCACCCCAAACCCCCAAGGTAAAAGGAGGTCAGAGAGAAGTGCTGGATGCAAACAGGAGACACCCCACTGCCTGGGAGGCACAAGCTCCCCAAACTCTAGAGCCCCAGCACTGCTGGAACCAGCAGGCCCCACCCCTCAGCCAGCTGCCCAGAGAGGACATTATATTGGGGGATGGGTGTTGGTGTTGGTGGGGAGAGAACAGCTTGTCCCTCTAGGACTCTGCAGCCTGCACCCCCACCTCAGCCCTGTGGGAGACCCACTGACCCCCCTCCAGCAGCAGCCCCCAACCCTGCACTCCCCAACCCTGGAAGAGGCCTATGGCCGGGGCCCGCCGCCCGCCCCCGGCAGTGCACAGACCCCTGCCCGTCCCGCGCCGGGCACAGTGGACCAGAAGAAGCCCCTCCAGTCCGGGTCCTCGAAGATGTAGGGCAGCACGCGGGTGAGGAGCCGGCTGCAGCTCAGGACGACCTGCTTCTCCCTCTCTGTGTGGCAGCCGCTCTCGGCGGCCTGCACCAGCTTCTCCACAGCCTGCGGGCGGGGGCACCCCGGCAGTGAGTGGGACCCAGCATCCGCAGTCGGGGTGGGCGCTGTGGTCACGCAAGGAAGAGACAGCGGGGCCGCGGGTGGAGGTCCTGCAGACTGGGCCAGCCAGCCCTGCAGGCCGGGCCAGGGCGAGAGGGCAGCCCGAGCACCCAGCACTGAGCACCCAGGCCACTCCCTGCTGCCCCCTGGCTGAGCGCTGAAAGCTGCGTCTCGCCTCTGTAAATGGCCACACGGCTGTGTCAACCGCAGGGTGAGTAATGTGAGCTGCTCTGTGAAAAGTGCTCACAGGTTGGCCCAGGGGAGCAGCACGGATGGAGTGGCCAGACCTCTCCCCGGAGCCCGGAGCCCGCCAGCAGGGGCAGAAAGGGAGGGCTGGGGAATGGCTTGAGGGCCCTGGCCCCTGCCTCTCTGCCCCTGCAGGGTGGGGAGGGCCTTGCCTTGTAGCACAGCGTGGCCAGGTTGGAGGGTGACTCCTCCCGCACCGCCCGGATCTCGGCCGCCGGCACCAACGCGAAGACATCCTGCACGGAGGTGGTCGTGTCCGCCCAGAACTGGTCCCAAAAGGCGTCATCGGTGGCTTCCACAGGCTGTGGGGGACCCGAGTCCAAAGTTACATGACCCCTGGCCACACAGTTTGGCCAGACTGTTGCCAAGGGAGCCCCCAAGAGGGAAGTCACCGGCCCCTACTCCATCCCTGCAGACACCCAAGAGCCCGTCCCGCAGCGGGGCACAAGCCCCAGCCAGACCCCTCGGAATACTCAGTGTGAGCAGCCCGGGTCAGTTGGGCCTGAGAGGGGTGGGACCCCAGATAAGTCACAGCCTCCCCTGGCAGGACACGAGACACCCCCACCCCGAGGTGTCCCAACTCAAGTGTCCAGGGTGCCAGACCCAGACTGTGCCTCCCCCTAGGGAGAAGACAGAGGGGACATGTGCTCATCTCCACTCAGCCGGTCCCTCAACCCGAGCTCCCCACAGAAGCCCAAAGGTGCCGCGATAAAGCTGGTCTCCAAGGCCTCTGGAGACCAGAGGCCTGCTCCCCACCTGCTCCCCAGCACCCAGAACCAGCCAGCGCCACAATTCTGGCCATTCATGCCAGGGCCTACCCCCAGCATGCCACCTCATATCAGCCCCAATCTGCATCCCAAGTATAGGTTTGAAGGCACTGGCCCCTCACTCAAAGACCTCCGTGACCCCCAAGCGTGCTGCATGACGAGATCTTACCCAAACACACCTACACACACATACGTACACACATCCACATCTCTGATCCTTAGGCCACAACCCCACCATCTGACCGTCCCTCTTCCAGAATGCTCACCCCTTCCAACAGATTCCAGAGACCCACTGGTCCTTCTTGGGCCACGTGCCTTTCATATGCCTATGCCTCTGAATTACCTAGGCCTACACATGGGCAGCCCACTTTAATTAAAGATTTTGCTTCTAGAAACCCTTCCTAAGGAAATGATAGGAAAGGAACACATGTGATGATTTACTGATGTTATTGTTGCTAGGTGAAGCCCTGGGATCAGCTAAGGGACAGCAATGACTGCTTCAGAAATTAAGGCACAGCCATGTGGGGAATACTATGCAGCCATCAAAAATCACATTTTCACCCTCCAGGTGACTTTTATATTTTTTTTGTACTTTTCTATAAGTGCACATATTATTATATATTTTTTTCTTTTGCAAGTTCATTTATGGGGGCTCAGTGTGTCCAAGGCACTCTTTCCTTTTGAACTTCACCTCCTCCAAGAAGTCGTTCTGGGTTGCTTCAAACAACCTAAACTTTTCCCTTTCTAAACATTCTACAAAAGGCACCTGCTACTTCCATACATCCGCAAATTCACATTACCATCAGGTAATAGCCATATATCATATTTAAATTTTCTCTAAACTCATCTCTTCTAAAAGGAATGTCCCAGCACTCCCGACTGGCAGACCTGCTCCCACATTGGAACCTCGAGCCCACAGTCGCTGGCCCACAGGTGTCCACTCATTTCCTCCAGCCCTTCTCCACAGCCTTGCAGGTGAGGCTGACAGCAGCGGCCCAGGCAACATCTGTGTAGTTGTAATTAACCCTGGAGGTGCTCTCGGCAGAGCCCAGCACCAGTGGGGCTGTCCAGACTCAGGACCGGGGGGTCACAAGCATCACCAAGGTCCAGGCAAACCCTGGCCCACACCCCAAGCTTCCCTCCAGGCTACTGGCAGCTTCTGGCCAAGGCCCCCTGCATAGACCTGGCAAGGAGTGCCAGCTGGGCCCCAGGACTGGAAAGGTGAGTTTCCTGGGGGGGTGGAAGAGGCCAAGGAAGGCTCAGGGGCTAGGCTTGCTGGCCCTCACACCCTCAGCCAGGAGGGCCACCCAACACCACAGCGTGGGTGACCAGGGTGGGGCAGGACAGCAGGGAAACATGCAGAGCTACCCCATCTGGGAGCCAGTCCAGGAAGCCCCTTCTCAGATACTTTCCCTGGTGGCCAAACCCCCCCCTTTATGGGGGGGCTCATCTGAACATCAGCTAGACTTGACCTTTGACCTGTCTCATCAGACAAGTGCCACCTGGGGACTGGATTTGAAAAGGGGAAAGAGACTTAGAAGGCCCCAGGGTCACCTAGCCGGGAAGCAAGGGATGCCCCCAGTTACAGGAGCTGATTTTGAACTTGAGGAGTGGGACTCTCACCACCGCCATCCCAAGCTGGGCCTCCTCCCCTGGTGCCCTGTCACCTCCATTTGGTGGCCATTACTGGCTCCACCAGGCTAGCCTGAGGCTTAGGTATTAGTGAGGCTTACCATGGCCCTGTGGGCTTGTGAGGGAAGGGACTTAGCTCCTGCCTGGATTAGCTCAGCTGGGCCCAAAGAATCTTCCCAAATCCACGCCAGTTTTTTTGAAAAAAGGATTTGTGCTGGAAGGAGGCAGGCCGTGGGCCAGGGGCGCAGGGACAGAGCCACCCTGGGAGACAGCAGCCATTCTCACAGAGTTCTGCCCACACCTGCGGGGCTGGGGGCAGACGCCCCACAGCCTGTGACCGTTGCTTCTTTGGAAACTCTGAGGAAAGGAGGGAAGAGCCAGCAGGGCCTTAGCCTGCTGGGGTGACCTGCTCTGTGGACGCTGTGGCACCCCATGGAGACAGGGTCCCAGCAGGGCTCCTGCGCCTATGGCAGAGAACGTCCCAGAATCGGGATCTGGGCCTCACTCCGCTGGGGAAGGGTCAGGAAGCAGGCGATGCTGCCGGCCGCCACACCAGGGTCAGGCTGCCCAGGGCAGGAAGAAAACAGGATGCAGGGCAGGAAGGCTGGGGGACTCGAGCAGGGCAGCCTGGGCCAGGCGCAGGCCACGGAAGAAGGTGCTGGGTGGGCTAATCTGCTCTGAGGCTCTGGAGGCAGGGGACACTCTGAGGCGGCAGGCCCGAACCCCCACGGGGGCACACGGAGCAGGTCTGGAAGGATCATCTGGGATCTGGCCTTCACTCTCCAGCACCCCAACTCAGGTTTCCACAGTGACTTTTTCCCTCCAGGCAGCCCAGCCCCCTCCCCCCAAGCCCCAGTTCTCTCTGGGGACTTGGGGGGGAAACCCAGGCATCTGCAGCTTTGATCCTGTCCCAAACCAGCTCATAGTCCTTGGCTGGGAAACAGGACAATACTGTTTCAGTCAACTCCATCCTGGGGAAAGCTGGAGAGATGATATTTTGGGGAAGGGGCTGGAACAGACAGGAATCTAGGCCATTCAGATCCTTTGGGGCCTGGCTGAGCTCGCCCTGCTGGCCAGGCCAAGGACCCCATTGCTGAGCCAACAACCCACAAGGCACTCCTTCAACAAGGCGTTTCCCTCCCCAGTAGGTAAACACAGGAGCCTCCCTCCCTCGGCTCCTGGGGGCCCACATAGAGGTCCACCTGCGACTCTCAGACCAAGAAGTCCTCCCCCTCAGAAAGTGCCAGAATGAACCAAGTGCCGTGGGAGTGGCAAGAGTGAGTCTGGTTTCTATCAAACGTTTCTCATCTGGGGCTGGACTCTGGAGGCAGTGGGCAGGACTCTGGAGGCAGTGGGCATGTCGGGCACCTGCTCTTCTCTTATGGAGAATCCAGAGCCTGGCTTTGGAGAGGGGTGCCCTTGACCCCACTCTAACTGCGAAGAGCAAGAGAGGACCCTGGGAAGCAGAGGTGGGAGTATCGGGAAAATCCTGACTCCTCGAGGTGTGGGTCTGGGGGTTCAGGATTGGCATCTCTAGATCCAGAACAGCTTGGTTCAAGGGGTGACGTGAGAAGGGGTGGGCTCTGCTGGGGTCAGGTCCTGTGGGGGGAGGGGGGCAGGAGGAGGCCTCTGTGACACTTGTGGACTCAGGGGGTTGTGAAAGTATATGCCAGGCTTAAAGACACCCAAGACCCTATACCAGCCAGACAAGGCCCATATGGAGGAGTCTCATCCCCAGCCCAGAGGGTACCCTCAGACAGTCATCCTCAGCCTGGGCCTCAGAAAGAGGAGCCCCCTAAAGCGATGGTCCCCAATAGGAAACTCAGTTCCAAGGGCCGGGGACAAGCCCCCTTGCCAGGCTGCCACCCAGCTGCCTCTCTCTGGTGTTCCCAGGGAGATCTGGGCCTTCCTGGCCACCGGCATCGACCTGGGCCCAGCGAGGCCGCTGCGCCGAGCACCAGCTGTCTCCCGGACCCCGGGCAGCGCCAGCCCGGCTTTGTTTGCGTTGAGTCAGCCGCGTCTGTGTGTCCGGGACCCACGGGCACCGAGGGCAGGGAGGGGGGCAGAGGGGGGCTAGAGGGGTGGAGGGAGGCTGGAGACGAAGGCAGATAGGCGGCGGGAGGGACCGGGGCGCACAGGGGCGCACAGCGGCGGGCGGCTCGGGGAGTAGGCACACGTCAGCCTAAGCTGGCAGCCGAGGCGAGGGAAAGGGATGTTCCGGGAGAGGAGG